CAACATATTAGGTTATATTTTCATATATGTTTTACACTTTGATTCTGCTTACAGCTTTGATATACTACAAAATGACATTACTCTTCTGGAGGATATGCTTCCTCATCTTTGAAGATGCTATCATATTGCCTTTACAGAGTTTTTAGGTATCATCTGATGTAAACCAGAAGCTATTTATCACCTCAGTGACTATTTGGATACATTCCAACTTGTCCAAGTAGGACTACAAAAATAGATGTGAGCTGACCACCACAGAAGCACAAAACCATGCCGTCTTTCTAAGAATGTTTATAAATGCAATCAGTGCTTAAATGGGCCTTGTAAGTGTTCTCTACACTGATGAATGATATGTGGTTTATTTCCAAAGAGTTTGCTGACTTTGTTTTACCTATTCTGGTTGGGAAGTTATATTTCTTATATACCATAACTGCTCCACTTAGGTGGTTTTGGACTGAGAAGTTAAATTTATTTCTATTACTTTGGTAAATTCAGATCATATAATCAGCATATCAAGTATTTTATAATATTCTAATTCTTCCAGCAAACTTTCCCACAGTAAAGCATGTAACCAAGAACTGTGTAGTTCTATCTAAATTGTGGAGGGGTTAAAAAGTAAATAGTACTGAAATCTAATGGCATTCTTCCATTTTGCTAGTCCCTTCCCTTCCCCAAATCAGATAAACGAGCATACAAGACTCAGGGTACTAAAATAAAAAACAGTACTTAGGTGCATGTTCACAAAATTGTTTTTATCTCTTTTCCTTGTTTTTAGAGCATTATTCTGAAAATACATGTTGACATGGTATGTTAGACAGAAATTGGATTTACCATCATGAGGCTGAATTCTTGTCCTGTTTCTTTTAATGGCATGCTTTTCTTTTTTGACTTGATACTCATTTGACAACATAACTTCACTTGGTTACTGTCATAAACTGAAGGTCGAAGTAGATATGGGTCTCTAAAGTTCCATCTAACTTGGAAGACCTATTCTGAGTATTTAATGGGACTATACCATGTTTTTCCCTTTTAACCTTCCAAAAAGTAAATCTCACCGTAGGCAATGTATACATATGTATAGAAACCAGAACCCAGCTTAATCACTTACTATAAAAAATCAGAAAAATAAATATTAACAAAAATATTGAAATTTTTGAAGTTTATTGTTTGTTGTTATTATTGTTTATTTGTTTTTTGTTGGTTAAATGATCTGAATTCAAGGCAAGTGCTTTACAATGTGAACCATTCAAGGCAAGCGTTTTACAATGTGAGCCATGGGTCCACTCCTGTTTGCTTTTGGTTATTTTGTAGATAGATCTCAGTTCTCATTATTTTCACATGGGCTCTCCTCTGTGTCTTTGGATTACAGCTGTGAACAAACATGCCAGGTTTGTTGGCTAAAATGTGATTTCACAAAATTTTACCCCCTGTTGCACTCCAACTGCAATCCTCTCAAATAGTTGGGAATGGAGGTATCACTCCCCATGCTCAGCCATTTAAAGTATTTAGGAAGGATTGGGTCTCCAAGTTCTTTACCAGATGTGACAAATGCCATGGGATTGCAAGATACCAAACAAAACTCATTACACCTGGTCAGTATTCATCTAAGTACCCTTACCAGTGCACAAGAAAAAAAATCAATAATTTCTCCTAAATTTAAATTCTTCTTTTTTAACTTTTACCAATTTTAAGACTGCAGAGTAGCATGTGAATATAATTTGATTTTTGCCTTTTTCTAAATATTAATAGATTATCTTTTCATATATAACATTTTCTGTAAAGTTTAATGTCGATTACTTTGCTCATTTCTTCTATTATTATATAAAAATTGACATTGAGTGCTTACCAGAAACTGAGGTGCCATTTGTTGGCAGAATATTTTACCTACATTAAAAAATAACTTTTTACCTTCTTATGGAATTATTGGTGCATACATTCTTAATTTCAGTTTTGATAAATTAATCAGTATTTTATTCATATGTTTTATGTTTGTGGTATAAATTTTAATATACTCTTGTATCATGATTTCCTATCCTGAAAACCATCTGCAGATATCCTTGTCTAATTAAGCCTTAGTCCAGTTACAATTGGTGTTTGTGAACAAAATGACATAATGATACATTTCATTCTGTTCACACACCAGATGTCCAGATGAGTAAAACATGTGCATTGTATAACTCAATAAAAAGTAATTATCATGTGTTCTTAGGGATATTTTTATTTTGATTGTATTTATTCTCCTATAATCTAAATCAATGCAACTTCCTTATCGATAAATTGCTAATAAATGTCCTCTCTTACCCAGGAAAATTGAATCCTATTCTTTCTCTGGCTCATCCTGGTTATTTGGGGCTTCTTTTCCTTCTTATCTTTAGAGATAACTTCTTGAGTAGTTGTACAAAAGGGTTATCATTCAACATGCCAGTTTATAAATACAATGCACTTTGATAAATATCACCAATTTATCATTCTCCCCAATTGCTCCCAACCCCACTCATGCCCTCAATTTTTCTTAGTTTCATGGGATATGCATTGGATATTTTTTAAATTTTACTTTATTGTAAAGATGCTGTACAGAGGGGTTACAGTTGCATGAGTGAAGCAATGAGTACATTGTCAATTATGACTTCATTTTTGTTTTTCTGTGGAACTTGTAGAATCAGCTTTTGAAGTTTTCAAAATTTTAAATTTTTATTGATATACTTACTAGGTCTTTAATGAATTTGTAGAGTTAGTGATATGTATTAAAGCATTGGTTCTCCCCAGTATATTAAAACCCTGTAGTCATTTTAAATTATCGTATTAAACCAAATAATTTTGGTCTTTCAATTCATGTAGTCATACTTGCTAATGTGACCTTGCTTTCCTCACTTAACATCTTTATAATGTTCATATTTATTTATATCTTTATGTATTAATTTTGACTATGGTATTTATAGAATTGTAGGTGTTGCAAACCCTTGTCCAGTTCTGGTCTTTAAGGGAAGATTCTAGGTTTGTGTAGTTTGTATTCTTCATTACTGATAACTTGTCACCATATCAGATAAGAGGGAATGAGAAAATATACCATTCAGCAACTTTTACCAGATACCAGTACTGATATCGTCTCATTCTACCCTCCTGTCAATCTGGTATCACTAACCAATTCTAGAAAACAAGATTTTAAAAGATGTATAATTGTCCCAATAATTTGGTTCCAAACAATTGTTTGGTTCTAAACTCATGTTCTGGTCCATACTTTTCCCTAGCTTATAGCAAGACTATTCAGTTGTGCTGATATTCATTCAATATTTAGCTACTTGCCATGATGAACTGACTCTATAAGTGTATGTATGTATTGTTGGTATTTGAACATACAGGAATTTAGTCAGCTATGGCCACTCAATTACTGGTAAAAAAAAAAAAAACAATTAAAAAATAGCACCGGACTTACCACTTGGTTAATGTTCTATCACAATATTGAATGTATAAATGGAGGGGACCTAGTATTATGGACTGGATTGTCTAAATGGGGTCTGTTTTGTCTGATACTATTTCCCCTAATGACTTACTATCTGGCAGTGACGGTTCTAGCATAGCTTAGGCATTGTCACAGGCCCCAGATGCTTACTTACTGTCTTAGGGCCAGGGCTCACCTGTCTCTAGTCCTTACAGCAGTTTCTACATCCAGGAAGTCAGATCAGTGTGGCCCTGATGAACTGAAACCTTCATTTGAGCTCCAATTCTAAGAACTGGGTTAAATTACCAAGTGAAAGTAGTTCTGAAGTAAAACATAGATCTCTCACCCAGCCAGGCCTGGTAGAATATATGTGTAATTTCAGCTTTTGGAAGGTTGAGGAAGGATGAACATGAGTTTGAAGGCAACCAGGGCTGCGTAGTCAAACCAAGTTGTAAGAAAGCCTCTAGCCAGAGGAGATAAGAGTCAAGCACCTGTTGGTACATCAAGGTCCCAGTGAGCTAAAAAAAAATTATGCTATATTGCAAGCGGGACACATTTACTTTCTCCAGCACTATTTGTAATTATCCATTTATAGTTCATCACAAGCTGATTCTCAACCATATTGTCTCATTTCCTTTGGCTCACGTAGGAAGTCAAGGGAACATTTGGTTTATGCTCTTCTCTTGGTTAAACTTACCACCTCAGGGTGAGAAGACTGCTCTTTCTGAATAACCATATTTCTGTTTGAACTATTGAGCATTTATAGGATCCACATGGCTACTTCCAACTATCGTAAAGACTGAGATAGGCAGAAAACACTGAGACTTCATTTACAGGCTATCCCCAAGATGATACGCTGGAATTTTTAGCAGTCTTTCCTAAAAGCCAGTCTCACCATCTGTGTGGTGAGACTAGGAAATGAATTACCAATCCTTTGGACTTAACTATAGTAACTCCGTCTATAAGGGAAGGAGGGCAGGCTATTGCATTGTAGGAAATCCACTTATTGCCAGGTCAAATTCTGTTATTTTCTCTCCTTTTTCTCCTGGCTGGATAATTTGTTATGGTCTCTCAGTGATGAAAATATTTGACTCTTCATTGAAAAAGATCTTTGCATATAAATGTCGCACAGAAAATTAAAATAGCTCATCAGTTGGATGGAGAGAACGGTGCAAACATGGAATCCATTGTTGCCAGCAGAGTGAAACCATCCGCTATGCATTGATGCTACCTAATTCATGCCCTGGAGATATCACAGAGCAACTCTGTGATCAGAGCTCTTGCAGTGATACTTAAAAATTAATTGAATTTTCGAGAATGTCAGTTTTAGCTACTGTCATTGCTGGCCCCATAACTGAGGAGGATTATTAAAAATACACTGCCACCTACAGTACTGCTTGACTCTTTGACAGGACTCTTGCATACATGTCAATTGGACAAAGATTTCCTTTGGTTAAAGTGATTTGTCACTGTGTTTGTCTAAGATGTGCTGCATAGGGTAATTCTTTGGTTTTCAATGGTGTTTCTTTACTTATGCATACATATATATCTTGTTTTTCTTTAGGAAAAGAAGAATATATCGCCACTTTCAAGGGATCTGAATACTTCTGCTACGACTTGTCTCAAAACCCCATTCAAAGCAGCAGTGATGAAATAACTCTGTCCTTTAAAACTCTTCAGAGGAATGGACTGATGCTTCACACTGGGAAATCAGCCGATTATGTCAATCTTGCCTTGAAAAATGGAGCTGTCTCTCTGGTCATTAATTTGGGATCAGGGGCCTTTGAAGCACTAGTGGAGCCCGTGAATGGAAAGTTTAATGATAATGCCTGGCATGATGTGAAAGTCACCAGGAATCTGCGTCAGGTAACAGCGCAGTGGATAAGAGAGAGTAACTGACTTTGGTTCTTGCTACAGCTCTTTGCGCGGTATTTGAAAAACCTTAGCCACATGATACAGGGCTCCTCAGAGTTGCTTATAAATTAGCTTTTTTGTTTGGTTTGGTTTTTTCTTTTTTTTTTCTTTTTTTCTTTTTTAGATGAATCTTCCTGCCATACTTGAGCAGGGGCATATCTAGAAAGTAATGGGGCCCAAAGGCTGTTTTGATCCTGTGACATATGACAATCTCCCGAGGGCTGCAAGGCTATTCCTGCACCCTGCCCTTCCTGTGATGTGCGTGGTTTTGTCATGTTTTTGTTGTTGTTGTTGTTGTTTAGTTTTAGTTTTGCGTGTGTGTTTGTGTTTGTATTTTTTGTTTGTTTTTCTGATTTTCTGGTTTTAAATTCTAGTTTCCATAGTGATCATTTGGAAGCATGCACATTGGGATCTTTAATAACAGTTCCTTTTTTGTCCTTTGGTGACATGGGGGTTACACTGATCCCTACTGTCTTCTAACTCCCACTCCCCAAACAGAAGCACAGAAGCTCTTGAGGGGAAGAAATGACTTCAGAGTTTACATATCTTCTGATGAATCTCTCCATGAAGATATATATATATATGCATACATATATATAAAGATATATATATATATATACATATATACATGTGTGTGTGTGTGTGTGTGTGTGTGTGTAGTACAGATACTTCAAGTGAAAATCCAAATGATACTGGAGAAGCCAGCTTCTCTTTAGGCACCCAATTTCTGTTTTTTTCTTATTTTTTAAATAAATGATTGTAAAAGGCAATATACTAAGAAAATTTCAATTTACTACATCTTTGCATCCACATATACTATATTTTTAAGTGGAGATTATTACAGTGTGTATACATATGCATATATATATGTATATACATGCGGACGATAGTGGATAGACTATCCTTCTGTTTTGATTGTGAGTTTCGTTTGAAATTTGACAATATCACAATATATCATTATGTGAAGTATTACAGTGACTAATTTTTTGCAGTCTATGCTGATTCCAAGCTAATATCCTTAACATTGTTGTTTCTCTGAACAGTTGCAGAGTGACCTGATTGTTTCCTTTTACTAAAACAGCCCTCTCTTTCTGAGCTGTTAATTGTCTAACCTTTTCCTTCCTGCTTCAGAAAGGCTTAAACTCTCTGAGCTAGAGAATCAAACAAAGGAGCTTTAGGAGTGGAGATTTAGTTAAGGCAGATAATTTAAAACAGAAGGATTCTTGAGCCATCCCCCAAAGACCCTTCTAATGCTTTGTTGACATGAGAGGGATCTGCATGCTCCTCACCTGCCTTGGAAGAGGTTTGCCCACCATCAGTGTAGCTGTAGATCATGAGTTTCCTGTAAGTCTGTCTCTTTGGTTTTCCTTTGTTTTGTTTTGTTCCCCTTGCCCCCTCAGATACTCCTCAAGAGACTGAGGTTGACTTGAGAAAACCCAGAAGGAAGGGTGGGTCTCAAAGAGCCCACTTTCTAGATTTGCCTTTGCTCAGGTTATATACATATATATATATATGTGTGTGTGTCAAAGCTGTGAATTGGTAGCTCCAAGGAAACAGGAATCTCTTATCCAGCCGGGATGCATGTGTGGCAGGACAGATGAAAAACAAATCCATTCTACTCATTCTATGTGTCAGGATCTTTTGCTTTTGTTTCATTGCAGTAAACTGTGACCCTTAAAGTCCATCAATATGACCGAAGGAAGTTTTGAAGTTGAGGAGGAGTCCTTGTGTGCTGTAAAATTGAGTAGTAGGGCAAATGCCAACTGATTCCTACTAATTTGCTGGGGCTGGGCCTGGGCCTGGGGGCGGGGCTTGGGTTGTGGGGTAACAATTATGGTTGTAGAGCAGCAGTGGTCAGCTCATGAGATTTAGGCCTTTGAATCCCTTATAGACTTTTTGTAATGTCTCTCAGGATTACCCAGGAAGACAAAGGGAACGTTGTCATGTGTCTGTTTCTGTCTAGCAGCAAGATATGAAAAATAATGGCAGGAAAAAGAAAAATCTTTCCTCTGTGGGAGGCCTATTTGTTAGTCTGCTTTTTTCTTGTAAAATTTTTTTGCCCTTTTTCTATGTTACTAACATGCTTAATAACTAACATGTCATTCATGGAATGTTTCATTCTACTAACCGTTACCTGAATCAAAAAAAAAATGTACTAACATGGTAGAGACCATCATATTTTTTAAGTAACGATCGTTATTCTGTTCACAGTTTTTAATTTCCTTTCTCCCCCCTTCTCCACAAAGCACTCAGGCATTGGACACGCTATGGTAAACAAACTACATTGTTCGGTAGATATCATTCTAATTGTTTCTTATTTTGGGTTTGCCGTGTGTTTTCTTTCTTTCTTTTAACTGTAGACATCATTAACAAAAGAGGAACTGCGGTTGGTACTCTTCTGCTTACTTTGACCTCCTTCCTTTCATCTGTTGTTGACTTTTCTTATTTTTTACCTGTTCCTGTCAACTTCTGTTTTCAAACTCACCTGTAGGGGCATCGTTTAACGTTTCGAACGTTTTTTTTTGCATCCAGCTGTGGTTAACACGGAATAAGAAAAAAAAAAAAAAATGGTGGCTGGCCTGAGTGACCGCAGGCTCAGCCAGTCTCTAACCATTCATGATGCATGGCATGGAGACTTGATTTGGGAATGCTGGGGATGCCACACCCACTCATCTTTCAGTCATCACAAAGCAGTTGTTTTTGTTCTTTTGGTTCTCCCTGTTTTCTTTCCTTTCTTTTCTGAACTGTACCTCCTGCATGTGCTACATTGGGCGTGTATGGCTTCTACTGGTTGATTTGCCTCTCCTCCTCCTTTGGCATGGACTTAGGCACTTGCATGCTGACACCTGCTGCTCAATAGTGCAAACAGTGACGTTGCTGGAAATAAGCTTGTGCCTTTTATGTTAACAAGGTGCACGTTGTGATTAGTTGATGACAGACCACTAAACTTTACTAATACGTAACACCAGCAAAACTAACCTAGGAAGCATTTTACTAACACCATTTTTGTGTCTGCTGAATAACTTTTGAGTTGCAGTAGGGACGATGCTGACACTAGCTCAATAATCACTTAACGTGCTAACTAGTTTAGATCTCTTAGGGTTAGTTGAATAGAACCTAAGAATAAACCTCAAACAGACATGAAAATGGGTTCCTCCATAGGTCTAAAACTAAAAACCAAACAAACAGAAAAAAAATAAAAAAATAAAGAAAAACAAAAAAGTAAATAAAACCAAAACACAAAACAGGCATATCCCAGGATTACAGTATCTAGGTCTGAGTATAGCGTGTCCTTTCCCTGTGCTTTGTTATCTAGGTGACAATATCAGTGGATGGAATTCTCACCACAACGGGCTACACACAAGAAGATTACACTATGCTGGGGTCTGATGACTTTTTCTATGTTGGAGGCAGTCCCAGCACGGCAGACCTGCCAGGGTCACCAGTCAGTAACAACTTTATGGGCTGTCTCAAAGAGGTAAATACTGTTATCACGAGAATCATTCCTAACTCATGATCTCATCATTTCAGATCTGGATGGAAAGCGCCTCTGTTGAAGACCTGCTGTTTTCAGAGTCAAATGGCACAATCTTAAATTTAATCTTGAATTGTTTGAGTGGGATTGGGAAACTGGTGGGGGCAGGGTGGGGAGCAGCTCATAGAACACTATGAAGTATGAAGCTCCTCCTCTTTCACGGTAAGCAATCCACAGTGGAGATCTGCCCAGATAGTTGTGTATTAGCTATTAAAAAGTCAAACTAAAAGAGGAGCTGGGTGGAAAGTTACATGTTAAAATGTAATTGTTCATTTTGAGCTTAATGTTTTAGGTGTTCTATTCACAAGAATGACTTGACAGTTGGGAAAGGGAAAGACTTAAAAAAAAAAAAAGAAAAAGATGCTATAAGAGAAAAAGAGACTATAGGAAACAAACCAGAGGAGAAAAACAAGAGTCAGTTCAATGAAGTATTCTTTCATTTATTTTTAAAAATCTTGTGAGAAGAATAAAGTTGGGTCATTAGTGAGCTTGATGAGTTTACTTGATACTTACCTGAGAAAAGTCAGCTGATTAAAAATAGTAACTTCATCCCTCATTCATAACTGTGGATTATCTGTTGTACTTCTGTGCCTGCCCCACCACCCCTACCCCACCAATCCTGGGGCTTGAAACTTGGGCCTGAGCATTGTCCCTGAGATTTATTTTCTTAAGGCTTGTACTCTGCCACTTGAGCTACAGAGCCACTTCTGGCTTCTTTGAAGGTAAGTGTCTCCAGGACTTTCCTTCCCAGGCTGGCTTCAAATCACAATCCTCTGATCTCAGAGGCTGATCTCAGCCTCCTGAGTTGCTAGGATTATAGGTATGACCTAGGATTATAGGTATGACCCACTGCACTCCGCCTGTTGTACCTTTTTATAGAATTGTAATTTGTTATGTTGTGGGAATGATCAGAAAGTCTTGAATTCCTATTCATGTGAATATCTTCTCTAAAAGCTTCTGTTTTTAATTATTATTTAGGTATACTCCAATTTCACCTGGCTACCAAAGCCTGAATTTTCTCTAAGGTTGTATGACTACAATTTAATAGTATGAAGTTTTAAGATGTAAAGTTGATTGGCGTGGGGACTAACTATATTTAAAACTTACTACTTATAGTTAAAACTTACTAGTAATCATTATGATTTTGACAAGTGGGAAAAGAGAAATTATTTCAGGTTAGGAAAATCATGATGATTAAAAGAAGTTTCCTGAAACCTCTTCTTGGAAGTTAGGGGCCAAATCCATCCCTCATACAACCCACTCTATACTTCGGACTTTTATGTCCTACTTTATCTATAAGAGGGTAGAGTGACAGTACATTGGAAAATGGAACATAATTTCAAGAAATGGAAATCTAGCTAAAGAGTTTTTGGAGCATCATGTAAGATAATGACAACAACAGTAATAATAATAATAACAGGGATTCCCTGAGTTCAGTTGAGGCACATTGCCTTCATCTACATCTGAAAGAACATATTTTCATATATAAAGCTTTAGCTATGTGCCTTAATCTGAAATGGCAGGTTCAAATTTGACTGGGCTTCAGCTTAACATCTTTACAGTTTAAATGCTTATGAGTATGTATTAATACTTCTCTATTTTTGTTAGTTTAACTGTTTATTAGTATATATTAGTACTTCTCTATTTTCATATTAATATTTTAGCCATCAAAACTACAATAGCATATAGATAAAAATGAGTAGGTTATTCTTCTAAGTGACATTTTATTTGGCAGGTAGGGGAACATAGCAAAGGGCTTCCCAGATACTCTTTCCTTTTCTTTAGATTTGAGATATAAACCACTTCTCTCTATTGATGGTGCCTTTCCCACTTCCCCGGCTTCCACAGCCTTGTCTACATGTTGGTTACCAGTATTGCCAATTTCATCTTGATTTGTGTAATATATTTCCCTGTATTTCCTTTTGATGTAGTAAAGGATAGAAAAGTGCCTTGACAACCAGTCTATAAATCAAAACATAGAGGTTTATGTGATCCCTAGTATCTACCTGTGTCTGAACCATTGTTTAGAATGCCCTGTTTTTCCTATCTCTAAAATGAAACATTGACAAAGTGCCACAAACTTTGAGTAAAATTATCTTGTTTTAGGCAAGTCAGCTTTGTAAAATTGTGCAAAGGAAGGAGTCTACCAATTTTCATTTGGACCAAATCTCTCTTAAGAGAGTATTACATATTTTCCTAAACTATGCTTACACTTCCTAGCTTATCAAAGCTTATACTTACATAGCATGTTACATGCATGATACCTTAATTATAACTTTATTGACCGAAATATTTTATGTTAAATTTAGTATGCAGTCTAGTACTTCACAGGATAACTAGATCTGGGAGAGATTTTTTTTTAAATATCTTGACTGAAACATAGAGCAAATTTTGGCCTAAGAAGAATCTTAGAACTCATTCTCCAAGTTTAATCTCATTTTAGAAATGGAGAAATGGTCCTGGAGGAGTTACTAGAACAAAACCAATGAAGAAATAACTCAAGTTTAGAGCATAGAATCTTGACAGATGAATTATGGCATTTGAATGGTTGTTTCAATGTAGTCAATGGCACTCAAGATATATAGCAAGAGATGTCCTACTGGTCTTTCTAATCCATGGCTTTATTCTCTTAAAAATTACTTCATTTATGGAAACAACATACAATATTATTTTTTCATTACAACCAGTGTAGGTTTCTATTTCCTAATATGACTTTTGATTCTGTAAAATGAGACGTAGACTTGGTGTACCTTACTTTCATTAGAGTGGTTTTCAATTTAAAAAAAAAAAGATGAAATTAGTAAAAATTATAAATCTACAAAATCTAATCTGAACTTCATTTAGTACTTAGTTTAAAATGAGAAGACATGTATTTCTAAAATGTATGATCAGATAATTTTGTTTTTAATGTTTATAGCTTTCCAAAAATTAATCAAAAATGTCTTTGGAGATCTGTTTGAACTGACTGAATATAATTTTCACTGACATAAATTTCAAACAAAATGAAGAGAAAACTGTCAATCATAGTTGCCATTATACCCAGCCTAATCTATGAAGTTCCTGGAGAATAGTAAGCCATTAAAATATACTTTACATTCTGAATTTCATAAAAGCAATTTTAATACAATTTGGCAGGAATATGTGTTTATGTGCTTTGTGTTTTTCATAGCAATGAATAAAAGTTGAAAAATGTTGATTAAGAATTTTTGATCATTTGGGGCTAATAGAGTGCTTGCCTTGCATGCATGTGGCCCTGGGTTTAATTCTTTAATACATAAGCAGAAAAAGCCGGAAGTGGTACTGTGGCTCAAGTGGTAGAGTGCTAGCCTTGAGCTGAAGAGCTGAGGGACAGCGCCTAGGCCCAGAGTTCAGGCCACATGATCAACAAAAAACAAAGCCAAAAACAAAAAAAGAATTTTGATCATTTGAAGTTAAATTTCATTAAGCAGGGTCATTAAGTATCTGCTACAATAGGAGAGAGATGTGAAGGAACTCTGGACTCATGTCATTGAGTCAGATGCTTAGAGTTCATTTGAGCACAACTTTAGCCCTGCCCATTCACCTTACACCTCTTGAAAAACATTTTCCTGTATAAAGATATCACAGTTAACTCCTAAAATGCTCTTTAGAGATATTTAAATCTTCAAATGAAAGTCTTACCAGTGTATGTTTTCATCCCAATATTGTGATGATGAGGACTTTTATAGTAAATAGTCCACCAAGAAGCATATTGCATCATCAGTATTAATCTTCCCACAAAATTTGCTTCTGTACTGTGTAATTCTTAATCTCTTGATGTCCAAAATTCTTTAAAACATCTGTTCTTCTGAGGGGTGAGCATACTTTAGCATACTTTGCTGATTTGGAAATGAAAATGAAAGAGAAGGAAAAGACCATGAGATTCATAAAACAATGTAGATTTGAATCTTTATTGGAAGTTTGCTTTTGGTCATATGTACCTGCTGGAGATTTTATAGTCACTTCTTTCAGCGGAAACTGTGCCAGTATGAGGTAATTTAAAAAGTTGCTGCAAAGAATTGTTCAAAATGAGCCTAAGGAAAGATTCTAGAGGCAAAAAAAAAGAGGAATTCTAGAGAGAAATAAATCCCTACTGAAAATTTCATCAGCCTAATTAGGTCAGCTCAGCCTTTAATTACACTTGGAGATTTTTATCACAAGAATTTGTAAGATGTTTTGAGGTAGATGAAGTAGAGGCAATATCCAATCTTAGATCAGCGTTTTTCCTCACTGTGAGAAATGAATGGGTGATTTCTCAACACAACCAGCATGGCCCTCTCTCCAATACAATGGCTGCACGGTAATTCCCACAATGTACCAGTATACTTATGGGAAAAGGTGAAATATTCACCAGTGAAAATATGTCATTGGTGAAAAATATATTTTTGGCACCTATCTTTTCTTGACAGAACAGAATGGGAGGAAAATTCACAGAATTCTCAATTTGTTCCCTATTTTGTGGTATACCCAACTCAACAGATTTAGGTTTTCACATATATTTCTGTGCTTATTTCCCTCTGTGATCAGAGAGAAACAGAGTACTCATCATTTACATGTGAGAGCAAATACCCAACGAATATTTTTTTTATTTTAGGTTATTTTTCCAGTTTTGAAATTAAAGACTTTGTGACTTATAAGAAAAGTTGGCCTATAGGAACTTTAAAAATATGGACAATCCCACCATGTGGGAAAAAGGAAAGTGTCCTGATTGTCAGGGACCTCCTCATGTGGCTCTAAAGGCTGAGCAATTTCTCCCCAGTGTCCTGGTTTGTTGCTGTGTTTTGTTTTACTACCAGACTCCTTATTGAGGCTCCTGTTTTCTTGGCTTTCCTCTCTTACTCAATTGCCATTGTTTCTAAATTGATCGGCAGCATTTTACAATCCATTCCTTCTTATATGCTTCCTTTCTTCTTTAAGGAAGAGAG